TTATTCAGCCAAGTAAATTATCGCAATTAAAATTAAGCGTCAAACACATTTTTACTGCCAAATCAAAGTTTTGATAAGACGAGGAGAGTCTGCTTCCTTCTCGTCTACCTGGAAACAATCTCTTTCCTGTCAATTTAAAAAGCCGTTCATATATTTTTATGAAGAACCTTCCTATGCTGTCAAAACAACTTAATTACAGCACCAACCGTTATTTAATACCAATGTCAAAACTCATTTACAGTTATGGCTGAGACTCTGCTTTTATAGACCTGAACACACCCCCACACCCAACTGTTCCTTCTCTCCTCGAATAACTCCCTCCTCCTCCTCCTCTTCCTCCTGCACGGACACGTTTTAAAAGCACATGCTGTCACTAGTGGTGCAGGATCAGCCTCACAGAGGTCAGCGGTTCACACAGGGAGTCATAGTAATCATACAGTAGTGGCCAAAGCTGTTTGAGCAGCACGCGGCTAGAAAAGGTCGCCTGCTGCTGAGTAACCCTGACTGTGCTCTGGGAAAGGAAGCAGTGATATTCAAGCTGCATGTGAGGAGAAGTGATGAAGCGGAGCCGGCTCGTCGTCTATATGGTGTGGCTGTTTGATGGGGCCATACCTTAAATTCGAGACTGAAACACGATCTTTCATCTGGATGGGACAGACAGGGGGCAGAAGAGACGAGTCCTCCAGGGACATGTCTGTGTGTGTGCACATTCTGCATTTGCTTTGGCTGAAGCCAAACAGGACAGCACACAGTTTGATGAGATTGACTCACCCCAGGGTGATGACAAACACAGAGGTTTAACTATAAACTAGCACTCAAGTGGTGTATGTTACTTCAATCTGAAGGAGACCGCGGCGCACACACTTTCAGGGGAACTTAGGGAGAGCAAATGTTCTTTCTAAATTTGTCCACATACAACAGACCCCCTGTGTCCATGCAAGCATGTCTGGCTGCACACAGAACTGCTCTTCAGAACCTCTCGGTGGACGTCAAACATGTCCTCATAAACCGGTGACCATCTTTTTTTTTTTAAATCTCTTTCCTTGCAGCTTCAACAAGCCTGCTTTGTTAAATGGTGGCTCTGCCCTGGGCCCTTCAGGAGTACGTAATAGACATTAATAATGCAGAAAAAAACAATCACACACACTTGCATTTTAGTTTTCTGCACTGCATGCTTGTTAAAGCACAGGCAAGAGGGATCCATTAAATTCGCCCTGCAGGAAGAAGCACATGCGGCACTGCCTGCAAAGGAATTGCGAGGCTTTGAAGGCGAAAGGTCACAAAAAAAAAACATAGTGCATCAAATGATACAAGACTAAAATTTTTGCAGACTCTTCTGAATTTTCATGCAAACACAAGACGAGAATCACATGGACCTAATCATTAATGTCATTCGATACTGAGAACAGTTTGTCGGCATCATTTGGTTGTAAATCTCAACCTCCCATTATATCCTCAGGTCACTGGCTCTTTCTGGAGGCTGGAATAAATCAGTGACTGGACAATGAGAAGCATGTTTATTGATCGGTAAGATCTTGGGAGACCTGCGGTCGACGCAGGAAGAGAGGACGAACAAGCTGACACAGCAGTAAACGAACAAAAACGATTAAAGTAAAGTTTGTCCTGCTTTTATGCCAGTGTTAATCAGCTGACCTGATGTAAACTTTAGGTAAAATACAGTGGCTATGGCACAGTGCCTCACAAAAGTATTCATATCCCTTGAACTTTTTCCACGTTGAACTCAAACTTTCGCACGTTATTTGGTTTGTACATGACTGAACAATGCAAAATGAACCACAATTGTGAAGAAGGAAAATAATATATGGTTTAAGATTGTTTAAATAAAATTCTGGTGTGCATCTGTGTTCAAATCATTCTGCAGTAGCTTGTAAACACTTATATGTGTAGATTTGCTGTCCTAGTGGGAGATGAACATCCACACCACTCTGTTTTAGACGAAGCAATGTGTCAAAAGCCTTCTTCCACATCTGTTAGCATGAAATGTCCATCGTATGGGACAATGTTTTTTAATGCAAGTCGGCCTCCACAGAAAAGCTAAAATCGACTTGGCTGCACTGGATTTTATTTATATGTATCAGAATAAAAAGGGTCTAAACAAGCAGCCCACACTTTTTCCGATTTTATTTGTGTGAACTTCATTCCACTTCCCAATAATACTCTACTCTGTTATAACAAATTAATACTACATTAATTTGTAGTATTAATGTAACAAAATGTGATGACGTTAAATCACACTGAATGTTTGTTGCTACAACAGAGTGGGTCAGGGAGCTTTGTGTCTCTCCAATGACACAAGAAGAAGCCCCCTCACTGTAAACCGCATTGTCCCAGAAAAAAGAGCAGCTCCTCCCCTTTGGGTTGATGCAAACTGAGATAGATGGGCTTTACATTCATAAGATGTGAGGAGAAATCTCCTCCAGCGATGGGTAACCTATATCAGGATATAATGAATTTGGAAACATATGTAGATTGGTAAGTGCAAGCACAGATTCAGCTTCATTCAAGAATAAACTGACTCAAGAGACAACTAAAAAAAAAAAAAAAAAGATTAAAAAATAAAAAAAATAGCCAAAGAGAGCAAATAACACAACTGACATGGTTCTCGGAGTGTCTGCAACACAAACCAAGGATGTTTTCCTTCACCTATCTGCTCCCTCTCTGCGATGTGAGAACAAATCTTTGTTTTCCCCAAACACTTCTTTACTGGAAGGAAGTGGATGATCCCTCTCCGAGTCCTCTGACATAGCCACCAAGGTCATGTCAGTGAGTGCAGCTTCGCAGGAAAATCCGGGCTACAGTATATCTGTAAGCATTGATGCATTACCTCTGGACCACCTTCCTAAGGTGTGAGCAGGAAAAGAAAGTGCCGGAGGCTCTTTTCTCCCTTGTTTTCAGTGTCTGTCTCAACAGCTCTGCTGCACTGGCTCCCCTTGACGCATGGATCAGATCAATGCTGAGTCTCAAAGGTAGGCAGCGAATATGCTCCATGAGGCATGCGATGCCTCAGTGAGGGCCGAGTCCTAACACTGTGGTCGATGTTGCGCAACTGTTTTAACATCTTTTTGTCTAGCAGAATTCCACTAAACGGCTAAAAAAAAAAAAGTCTGAAAGAAGGAAGAAAATGTCTGTCTTTGTATTAAGTCTAACATTTATTACCTTTGTCAAACATTTTGTATTACTACTGACCTAATGATGCCATGCCTTGCATAATCATTCAACAAAGCATGAAACTTTTTTGTTTTTTGTCAGGCAACAATTATAATTTTCAAGGCATTCCGTCTCCCTGAGTTAATACTGCCATCCGTGCTGCAGCAAGCCTTTTAGGTTTTTTTCACAGAATAATACATTTCCAAATTTTGATGAAGATCATAAAAGGATTTAAATCCAGTCATTGATTAACACCTGAGTATGCCTTGAACTTGTTTGAAGGTGAGCATCTGTTCCAGTCTAAAGTTTTCTTCCAGGATTAGCCTGTGTTCACCTACATCCATCTTCCCACAGACTCTGACGAGTTTCCATTTTTCAGTTTCAGGAAAGCATCCCTGCAGAATGACTGCACAACTGTCATGTTTCAATGTGTTTGGCGTGCTCAAAGTAATGTGTAGTGTTAGGTTTCTCCGCATAAGAACAAAAAGAAATTAAAAGCATCTACCGTTGTCACCCTTTCGTGTTGATACATCACATACAATCTTAACACACAAATTCTAGCTGTAAAATGACAAAATGTGGACATTTAGGGAGAATGCGACATTTCTTTTGGCCACAATACAGCTGGAGCCACATTAAAATTACAATGTTATTTACCTCTTCTTGTGGCTTTTTGTGGGATCCTGGACACATTGTGTGCGTTCTCCAGGTCCCAACAAAGCAACAACAAGACCCAGACAGATACAAGTTGAGATTACTTCTCCAGTCAGTATCTTCTTCATGAACTAAGAGAGGAATGTGACAAGCAGCGCAACAATCTTAATTTAATAAGGTTACTGAAGTTCTAGCATACCAAACAAATATATGGACACTATGTAATGAAAAGCCTGAATGGCTTAGGGATGAGTATACGATCATGGACAAAGCGAAAACAACCTGCTACCATGGAAAACACAGCAGTGTCCTATCAGTTCTTGTCAGACAGGAAAGCAACGTTCATTCCAGTCGCCAGACTCACCTAAGATTACATCTGTATTATGCACAAATACTCACAGGAAGACGTGATTGGCTTGTTGTGCATAAGCAACTTACTTTTGCATTTTGTTCATGTCTATCAAATGTTTACCTCTGGCCTGCAGTATTTTTGTCCACCTCAGGGCTATGCAGAGGTCACATGCCACTCAGATTAAATCAGAATGACAAAAGCTTTGCATTGGCATGCAAGCTTGTACCGCCCTGGCTAACATGATGATTATGAAGCTGCCTTCTAAATTTAATCAAAAATATAACAATCAAAATCATTTTGATGGCAATGAAATCAGTTTGGTTGATTATCAAGAACTTGGCATGCTTCCAGTCACATACCAGGCACAGGTTGTGCCGTCGACTCAGGACTGGTGAGATTATTCAAGGAACATTTGCTCATTCAAATACAAAACAGGGCTGATAAACCATTTTTTTCTTGTCGAAATTCCAAAAAACTTTATTTTCCAGAGATTATGGTCAATGTTTACGTATCAGTATGATTGAACGTTATAAATAATTTTACCTACAGACTTAAAGATGGCTGGTCAAACAGACGGACGTTACAAGTAGACAGAAAGACGGGGTTTAATGCTAAGTCTGTTTCTTGCCACACCATTTATTTTGTTTTTCATTATTATGCAGCCCTGAAAAACCCATAAACTCCATACTTTTTCCAGATGGAGAAAGATCCTTGAAATGGACCACCTAACTCTGCTACTACATCTTAAATACAAAGTAAATTGGACAGACCATAGCTATTCTGTCTGGTTGCAGTGATTCCACATGTGTCATCATATCAATCTTACCCAGGTACAAAGAAGCGTTTTCTTTTTTCACGTTGTCGTCCAGGTAGGTGGGCCCCAGGGTGTAGATTGGTGTCGACCCCATGCCGATGAGTATCTGGGCGCAGATGAAAAGCTCCACATACAGTTTGTGCTCATTGCCTTCCTGATCTCGGGGGCAGGACGCCACTTCCTGCTCCCGCTTGCTGCCGTTCTCGCTTCGGCAGAGGCCTTTGTGGCCCACTGACGAGTTCATCTCCTGGATCTGGTACGGTGAGGAGATGAAATGCGGCAGGGAGAACAATGCCGCGCCCACGGCTATCACGACACTTCCCACGGCCAGCCAGCGTGGCCTGTGACCCCTGCCGCCAAAGTAAGAGATGAAGACAACCACCAGCAGGCTGCCGATGTCGAAGCAGCTGACCAACAGGCCAGATTCAGAGCTGCGTAGGCTGTAGCGCTTCTCAATGGTGGTGATGACACTGCTCAGGTAGCCCGAAACCATCAGGGACTGAATGAAGGTCAGGTAGCACATGCAGAACAAGAAGCAACGCGAGTCGCTCAGGATAACCCGCGCACACTTTCTGGCAGGTGTCTGAACAAACCCCTGCCAGAAACCAAGTTTTCTGCCTCTGAAGCCTGCGGGCCTGTGACCCTCCACTGACATGGAGCTGCTCAGCCCCACCATGCTGGACATTGAGGGGGAGAAGTCCGTCCATGAGGAAGGGGACTCCGCCTGGCTGCATTCTGGGGTCTTGAGCTGGAGCGCCCGGCTGTCCTCCACAGCCCCGCAGGAGCAGACTGTACCGACCTGCTGAGGATTTGGAGAGGGGCTAACCCCATGCTCACATGGTCCATTCAGGATGGGTAAACTTTTGGACTTGAAGCAGTTTTCGCCAGATACATACTGGTCCTGGAGCTCACGGATCTCCATGGACTCGGACAGATCGCTGCCCGTCTCGTCGTGGTCTGATGAAGTCATGGCACAGCTGGAGTTGAATCCTTGTGTCAGTGGTAACGGGTCCATCAGCAGCCAGTGCACACAACGATCTTGTTGATGTGGCGCAGGTTGCTGAGGTGGACAGAACACTTTCTGGCCAGTAGGACTGAGACAGACTTAATCTCTATGTTTATATTCATGGCTGATTCCACATTTCGGATCCCAACAGAGAAGCAAAACTTTGGGGCTTGGACATCTTTAACAATTGTGCTTTCTTGATAGATGATAACAGATGAACACCTTTTTTTTTGTCTATTTCTTTCTTCTTTTTTTTTACACGTTGAGATTTTCCAGAGAGCGTTTTGTCAGCATTTGATTCAAACTGAACATGTTACCAGTAAAAAAACGATGATGTCACATGTTGATATTGACTTTATGGCTCTTTGTTATACAGCAGTCTGGCTTAAATATTTCCCTTGTCACATAGCTGTGCAGCATCCTGAGGAATAATAATAAAATGGAAAAAAAAAACAGTCAATATGACGATTTCTAACGATGGTATGTTTAAAAAATCTGTAGAAATCAAACACTGATGTATCTTGTTTCTGTTTTTACTGGGTGTCGAAACGGGATTAATATCGCCGTACGATTTCATAAAAGATATATCCTTAAAAATGTAAACGAATAAGATTCTAAATAAGAAAAACAAGTTCTCTGCCAACGTGTTACGTTAATACATTTTAACTGTCTCGGTTAATAACAACAAATGTACAAAAAATAAACGGAGAGAACAAAAGACCACGCTCTCCGCGAACGTCTCAGACACCACTTTGAGGATCAAAATCAACACAAAATTCAACCCGAGCCTCACCAACGACACATTCGCGACCTTAAAACCCGCGACGAAATAACTAGCGGTGTGACTGAAGGTTGTTATACTCACAGCGGACTGAAAGGAGAGAGGTAGCCTGTTGTTCTCCGCTCGGAAGCCACACACTGAATGAAAGCTGCTTGATGCGGATAACGGCTGCTGCTGCTGCCCCCGAGGAGGCGATGGCTTCAAGGACCGTCGGAAATTCTAAAGATCTGTCTTTCACGAGTAATTTAGAGCAGGAAAGCGCTCCAAACTTCGCAGCATCCCGGCGACAAAAATAGCTGACAACAGAAAGTGATTTATTGACTGTGTCATTTTTGCGATTATGAAAGCAAAAAAGTTGTTTTCGGGACATTCAGTCTCACCTTTAAAATGTGTGTTTCTTTAAAAATATATGAACGAAGAACACGCTGTGATTTTGAACAGAATAAGGAATATGAAAGCACAGTAGCTTTATTTAAACTTTACTTAAAGAATCAGCCAAAAGCTGCCACCCCCCCAAGACAAACTTTCATATTTACAACTTTGAGACAAAAACACAAATATGGATCTGTTCCTTACCAGTTAGCCGGCTGACTAGTCGGATCAAATGAATGACAAGCGTTTCGGGAGGAGGGGGAACCCTAAACTAACCAAACACAGGAATTCAATCAGGTTTTTAATTGATAGTAATACAAAATATTCAATTGAGAGCCTCTCATTAAATTCAATGCCTATATTCGATTTTTGAATGTGGCTCACTACTCTGAGCATATGGTTTTGGGAGTGTTGCAACTTGCAACCACACCATTAAACTGCAATATCACGTTAAGATCCAGCTCTACTGGCCATCTTCTTGCCCTGGTCCATCAAGGCTAGATTTGCAAAGTGCCTTAGTAGTTGTCCAAAAAACTTTGTTTTCTTTTGCTGAGTCTTATTATGTCTGTTGATGTGACACTTTGTTAAAATGTTGTTCATCTTCTATTACTAAAGTATTTTCTTTCTCCCTTATTAATTGTGTTGTTTTTGAGTGTTTGTGCCATAAATGTGCCATCTGCTGCTGTCTTTTCTTAAATAAAACTTCATAATTCAGTTCATTAATACACCACGTCTGAGTTAACAATGCCTTTTCATCTTCAAAGCAACAAAGGTATGGTAACAGCGAGCAGACAGCCATTGCTACTGTTTGTTTATTGATGCGCTACTGTGCAAACCCCGCTTATTTCGGTGCGCCGTCAAGTACGCCGGCGTGTAAATGGTGGAGAGCCCGCAAACCCTATCCTGTTTGCGCCACTAAAGTCAAGTCGGGACATAAATGTTCTTGAGCGACTTTTTCATGTTCTTCCCATTTGATTAAATCTGAAGCCGAGTGAAGTAATACACGCGCTCGAGGGATTTATTTTTAAAAATATATATATATATAAATAAATAAATAAAAGAAGAAAAAAACACGGAGTCCTTAAAAAAAATGCTGTTTATCAATCTAAAGTAGGCTGAGACTACTCTAAAACTCGGCCTGCTTGTCGGCACATATGGTGGGCCTCTTTCGTCATGTGGACAGCTGGGACCCTTGCTGACATAGCAGTGGCCGGGTCAGCGGTCCCAGGCAGCCTCGCGCGGACAATAAGCGATCTGTGTGCGCCTGTGTCTGACGTCACAAACGGAGACCGATGCAGCTCCATGGCCGCAACTGGATCAGAACGGATTAGACGCTTCTGCTGACACAGCTGAAATAGTTTTGAAGATATTCATCTTTTGCACACTTTTCCATACTTGTTGACTGGTGAGCAGTTAAGAGAATTGAATGATTCTGAGATCTTTATCTCTGATCATTGACATGTCTGTCAATGAAATAGATAAATGGCTTCCTAGGAGGATATTCAATTATTAATTTCCTAAATTTCCTGGTCTCATCTTCTCATTCTGCTCCTCTTTCCTTCCTGTAGCTATAAGCTGCAATTGCAGGATTTTCTGCTTTGCAATTCTATCTATACTGAATTTTTCAGCAATCTCCTTTGCTAAGTAGTTCAAGATGGGATTTGCAGTGTTAGTTGTCCCTTAAATATTCTACTTTTAGGTGGAAAAGGTTCACCTTTGGTCTTATCTCACAAGAGCATAATGACACTCATAAAACACTCTTTTCAAACAAAAGAAAGTGAACAGAAATATGTTAAAACGACCAAGACCTTTACATCAACTTCACAGTTACTGTGCTTGTTACTCTGTCTTGCTCTCACGTGAAATCACAACAACATATTATGTGGGTTTAATAAAATGTAACATTTGAAGGCGTTCCCACACAATCGCCTCATTATTCAAAAATCTTCTTGCAAGCCATTTTGTGTCTCTTTCCACTCAGCTGTGGGAAACAATGAAAAACATCTCAAGGCTTTTGAAACTTTTGTTTAGCATGTTGCCATCAGGTTATCAGCACGAAATGGACTGATGCACGCCACAACCCTCAAAGGAGGCGTTTCAGCATCCAGTGGCATGAGCGGTTTGTTTGCAGCTTCCATCACTGCCATGGTGATGTCATTACAACACAAATGGGATGATGGTGTAACTAAAGCAACATATAGTCTAGGCTTCCCTTGCTCCCCTTATTCTCAAATGCACAACTTTGGGGTTTCTTATCTAATTTCTAAATCTAAATTCTTGCTATATCTCTAAATTCTTGCACATGTAATTGTAAGGGAATTCTACCTTGGTGTCAGACCAGATGACCTTTACAAAGCTGATTGAGAAAAGTGTGATTAAATCATTCTGCTTTCAGAATTGTTAATGTGACATTTGTGTAATTTGGAACATTTCTAATTATGTTTTAATGACATTAGATCTTACAGCCCTGTAGGTTTTGAGGGTCCATACGCCCGATTCCTCATCCTGCAGGAAGTTTCATTTTTGTGAACTAAATGCCACTGATTCAGAGAGAAAAAAAAAACCTTGAGACATTTAGCTGACTTGTGGCCTTTCTGAAAAGCTCTGGGAGCATATGGAGAGCTCGCAGATGGCATGTGGAGACTTTTTTATTTAAAGGTTAATGTGTCCATGTCTTAGAAATTATTCTGACGTGCGGGGGGAGGACGCCTACAACTGAAACATTTCTAACAGTTCTTACAAAACATTTGATTAAGTCAACGTGTTAAACTGAGCAATTTTCTTGTCGTTTCTGCATCATTTTTACAGAAATAAAATTCATAAAACCTTTTGCACATGCAGAAAGAGTTTGCACCATTCACCAGGGCCAGAAGCAAACATACCCATATTGCTTGGCTGGATTGATGCAGAAATTGACACAAGTACAACACTGACCTCTAGTGTTCAAGCTCATGCAATAACAACCTGCCAAATGAATAGCTGTTATCTGATGTGACCAGTAGATGGCGCTGGGTGCCAACAATGATGAGGACAGACCGCAACACTTGACAGATTAATTACTCACAGACTGAAGTTTTTAACCCTTTATTCTGTTTATTATGATACTTTTCCATTTACAGCCCCTGAGAAGACAATATTTAAATATTTAAAATTAGAATATTACAACAGAGCAACAGCTATGTCAAAGTGCTGAGCTTAACTTCATAGAAAACCTGTGAGCTGCCTGCAAACCAGGTTCAGTCACATTATTTTGTTTGGAGAAATGTACCAAATTTTTGAGCAAACTATTGTGGAAGAATATATGAAAACATTTGATTCAAGAAATACAAGAGACAAAATTGTCATCATTTTCATGATGGGCTGGCACTCATGACATTTAACCTTGAAATGTCTCTCTCCTGTGTCCCACACCTTTCCTGTTAGCCATCATAGCAGGATCGACATTACAGGAATCATTAATGAAGCTTTGCGTCTGTGCTCGCCATGTCTGACGCTCGTGGAGCGGAAGGAAATAAAACAGAAACTCACACAGACATGCATGTTGGTGAAAGTCCCATCCCCCCTCATCTGTAGCTCAGTCTGATTCCTGTAGACTCTGTAGCCTTGACCAGTATATCCATCCCTTATAGAATACGGGAACATGTAAACATGACAGATATTGAGGCGTTTGCATCTGTAACTGGAAGCCCAGAGTGATGACGATGATGCTTCTTCCTAGACATCCGTCCTCTCCTCTGGGCCCTTTATTTTAAGAAATCACTTGCTGTGCTACTTTATTGAAATGTGCAGGAATAAGGAATAAGAAATACTTGCTTCATCAGCTAATGGCTTTACAACAGCACTCAGAGATATAGGACTCTATGCTTGAGCTACCCTCGGTTGTACAATTTTCTCACAATTTGTTTGCAGGAGAAGAGGAATCCTTTTAAAATCAGCCGTCCTCTTTGTGTCTCCCTCTTAAGTGAACATTCTGGCACTGCCTCTCTGGTCTGTAGCTGGTTTCTACACCCTTTATTAGTTTAACCATTCAGAGGGGCTTGCAGCTGGAAACTTCGCCGCTGACGCATATGAATGAAACAAGTGGATCAGGACAGTGAGGTGGTGTAGTAATTGTGAGCACAATGGGGCGAGAGACCCAAAATAAAGACCCCTGGTAAAGTGCAAGTCTGTAGAAGACCCCTTGGTGTGCAGAGCAATCTTAGCAGATTGGTTCCCATGCTTATGCTAAAAACATCGCTCCCCCCCTTCTTCTTCCTTCCTTCTTTCTTTCTCCTCTGGGCCCTCGGGTCACCTAGTGAGCATGCTCATGCACAGGTCTCTCCATGACAAAGGCAGTCTGAATGTCCCTTTCCTAATAAATCATGGGGACATTAACAAATATGTGCCTTGTGAAGAAAAGAGCCCAACAGCTCCCTTCCCCATAGGGATTTTATCTCTGATAGCATACAGCTTTGATTAGGAGGGACAATAACATGGTAATGGCTGAATGTCATGCCCTGTGGTCTGGATATGTCAGAATAAATTAAGCAGTTTCTATTTATTTATTTATTTATCTTTTAAAATGATTTAAATAAATGTGTTTGAAGTGAGGAAAAAACCAGAGCCCATAAAATGTCAACTTAAAATGGACCTGGAAGTTTGGGGTCGTTGTTCAAGTTTAACAGATGGCTCAAGTTTTCTGAAGGGAAGATGAAAAGTTGTGAGCTGTTAATATATCACAGTCTTGGTTTTCTCATCAGGTATAAATTTAGATCATTTGCTCTGATATACTGAATTTCAAAGCTAATCTGAGAGGGGT